TATGTGTTAATTTGTAACTTTTCGGAATTATAGGGACTAAACTGTAATTTTCACAGCATACAGGGACTAATCTGAAACGTTTCTGCCAACCAGGGACCTTTCTGAAACTTTTCTGAAGTCTAGGGAGCAAACAGGTTACTTTCGGAACAAACAGGGACCGAACTGCAGTGTTTTAGAAACAGAGGGACCTGTTTGAAATTTTCGGAAACTTCAGGGGCTAAACTGCAACTTCCTGAAATTCTGGTCAATGATGACCTCACTGATGACGTCACTCCTTCTTCCCCGGCAGTCTTCTCCGGCCACCTGGTTTTTCCGGCGACTTTTCCGGCGAGATTTGACCAACTTTGACCAACGATTTGAGGGCCTTCTGGTGGTCAAAAAATTACGAAAAATATATTTTCGGAATCCTTGAAACAAGCCCTTTCCAACGGTGTACTCAAAAACGGATTTTGAGACAAAAAAATTTTGACGAAAAAAACAGAGAAATTCGTAAAGAATTCCCTGGACACCGAACCAAGCTCTGATACCAGTTGTTGGGGTTGGAAAACTCTTCTATTAAACACTAAAATAGAATTACAATAGGATGAGCAACTCTCACACTCAACTATTACAAAAGACCAACCCTCTCACTAACACTCTCACTCTAAGTTTTATACCATTTGTGTCTCTGTATTTGGGATGCATACAACTGAAGAATGAAGTCTCTATTTATAGTCTTGGCAGCCACCATTGTAGTTGCGTCTATTAATTGTGTTCATCATAGGGTGGGAAGAAAAGCTTGTCCCGTAGGTTTCATTTTGTCAACAATGATGGCTACTGTAGCTTTGGAGGCTTTGGAGGCTGGAACACAACAAAAAAGAGCCGTATAGCTCAATATCATCATACTTATGTGCATTATTAACCACTCCAATTGTAGAGCAAGTATTAATACTATGGGTTTACGTATTTCAGTTAAAAGACCCGAAGTAGCAAAACCCTAAGCAAAAATAGTACTTTTTTTTAGGGTCATTTTGTTAGTCGTTTGTCAAGCCTTATGGTTTCTAAACATTTTGTGTGATCTGAAATTGTATAATTGGTTACTTGCTGAAATTTATTGTGTTAAAAAATATGATGTACAATTGTAGCAAATAATGTGTTTCAAACAAATCATATTTTGATTTTACATACATATAGTTAGAGAAAATTTGGGCAATGGATTTATAAGTTGGTTCGCTTGATCAATCTATTGAAAGGTCATTGGTACAAAGACTACAATAGGTTTTAAAAAAATGCAGTGGCAATCGAATAGTGATCACTGATCAACCTTTAAGACTAAGGGGATGTTACATAGTTTGGGGCTTACGAGAGTTACATGCCTAGGAATAGTGATAAACCTTCAAGCACGAGATTGCTTATTTGTGGAATGTAATGATTGCCGAAGAGACTTGATTACCACTATAATGACCAAGAAAAAGGGTCCCTTTCTATTTATGGATCTCCTGTGACTTGTAAAGCTTAATACAAAATCAATAGAAATCTCTCTAATTCAGTTGTGGACAAACCACTAATCATGTTAACTACGTAATAATTAATGCGTGTTTTTTTTTCCTCACATCTGATATTATATGTTTGTCAATCGTATACTTAAGTCTTAAGAGACACCAACTTGTACAAGTGTATGCAGCTCTTTATTCATATTTTAGCATAGTCCACACTGGACTTGGTACTCATTTAAATTGCAACTACATAAAAGGTTTGATGACACTAAATTACCTACAGTTTGACCCATAATGTATCTTTACATAATTGCAAAGAGGGTGAAATTGGAGGCAAGAACGAAGGTGGGGTTAGGTGTGGTAGGAGTGCCGGAAACACATGAGATTAGATGATGCTAGTAGAGTATAAAACATAAATCTTGTAGTTTCATAAGATATTTAAGTATATAGAAACTAATGTGAAATTAATGGGGAGAAGGGTGATGTAACATATAATTAATGAGACTTAAACCTCAGTTTGGGTTATAAATATCGAGTAGAAAGAAAGCATCTCAAAACACCATAGAAGCAACCTTTTTATCAATACTTGTTAGCTTCATGGCTCTAATCACCAAATCCACTATTCTAATTTCGGTTCTAGTACTCCTCCTTTACACATGCTCATGTTCAGGTATTTTACATTCTTCATGCCATAACTATGTTTATATATATATATATATATATATATATATATATATATATATATATATATATATATATATTATATATATATATATATATATATATATATATAGGGTTAGGTTATAATGTGGATGATAACTATTGTGTGGTCGTAAGGACAATTCTAAACCAACAGATGAAGAATCAAGAATGATTATGATCTAGGGTCTATAGTATTACAGTGGAATAACATGTACCATATAATAACATAAAATTCAATGAAAGGGTATTTTAGTCAATTTAGCTAAATTTAAAAAAGGTAAATTCCGGATTTTATGGATACTTTTTCTTATTTTAAAAAAATATGATTTTGAAGGATAATCATTCTTTTAATTGGAAAATCTGGAAAAATATGTTTGTAACTATGGTGTCATTCTGACAGAATATATTTAAGAATAAGAAATCAACTTTTTCTTTTTACAAAATTTCCATCCTAAGCAGAATGTAATACACAAAAACATTTTTTATACTAATAACATATTAAATAATTACATTCTATGAAGTAGTCCATATCAAAAAACAGAAAAATCTGAAAACCAATAACAATATTTAATTTTGCATTCTTGAAGAATGAGATACAAAAACTCGTTCTGTGAGAATGACAACAATAAAATCGAATTCTAGGGCTTCTTCATCTGGATTTTTCATGAAGTTTGTAGGTGGTAAAACTAGCAGAATCCATCATCTTCTTTTGTATCTCTCAATTTCATTGAGAGGATAAAAATGCCTTTGTTCTTGACTTCTTGAATTTCCGGCTATTGAGATGTATGAAATCATTATTCACTTCTTGATTTTCGAAATATTTGGTATTTTGGAATCAATCTTGGATTCTTCAATCATTATTGGTTTTACGAGACTGTCAGACAAATATGAAGAATGTCAACATTAACTATAATCAACATTTTAAATTACTACCAACACATATGCAAATCTTTAAACCAAACTCACAAATTATAGTCCAATCTTCCAAAATAGAATGCATACCACATTATATTGCTATAAGATTCTAATAGAATGAATGGTTGTATATTTTAACAGAATGATGTTATTTCTAACCGAATGATCATTTAAATATTCTAATAGAATGAGTTTATGAGTATTCTACACACATATTGATGTTACTGTTTATAATTTGTTCTCTGGTTATGTCCATCAAAGACCTATTAAACACATACAAGTTTTGAAAGAGAGGGTTTTTATTTGTATCGACTTCTTTATGTAGATGGTTGTCTATGTAAGGATTAGATGACAGAAGTTAGCATAAATATTTCACAAAATTGGTGTCATATTACAAGTCTCCAATAAACTGTGCTTGCATAGAGAAAAGATCCCCACCTCCATGAACAAAATTAAAAGAGATTATGCCTTGTAAATCATATGAATGTTAGCTGAAAACTATCATACACGAATTCTTGGTTTTATAATGTCAAACTGTGAGGAAAAGCAGCAAAACAATTAAACAGATCGTATTTATTTGAACAAGTGGTGCCGAAGATTTCCAATCTGTAGAGTGCAGCCATGATAAGTTCTTATGGCTATCAAATTACAAGTAAAATTTCGAACTAGTATTCTCAATCATAAATACATTAATAGAGAAGATAACATGCATGCCAAATTCGATGTTCGTATCTGCTATCTGCTTTCAAATCTAGGCACTAGGTAAGTAATCAACAATTAACACCAAAAGAAATGAAATGAACAATCAAGAAACACTCACCAATTCAAGTTTCAAATTACAAAGTTTAAAGTAATCAGGAAAGTTCCGATGACTAGATTTACAAAAACAACTATAAAAACTTACTTGGTCGCCGCCGGAGAAGGAGGTCGACTTCACGGGAAAATAGGGATGAGATACCGGCGATCAGATGTCAGGATGAGGAGATTCCAGCAAGCAGCTAGTGGGAGCGTCTCGATCTAAGGCTCGGTCCAAGTCCTCGATTCTGGACGGTGGCCGAGCTCGAGCAGACAAGGGGGTGGGGGTGGAAGAGAGGGTTTCTTTGAGGCGGTGAATAATGTAGAGGGTTTCTTTCAGGTCTTGTTAACACTTGTAGACGACTCATATTTCGATGGACTGTGAACCTCCTTATCAAGAATTTTGAAACGGGGAAGGACTGTTATTATTCTGAGGAAGCCACAGATTGAATGAGATTTGACCTAGCTAAACAAATAAGTGTGCAACCAATGAACCTTTCATCCTCTTCTGCGCTTCTTTTCTTCTACTATTGATCCTCTCCCTCTTCAAGATCGCACTACTCATCATCTGATCAATGGTGATGTAGAGGACGGTAGCATGGTGTTGATGAAGTCGACTTAGGGTTATCGATGGCAGGCATGATGATTTAAAGGGATTCATCCATGATTTAAGGAATTTAGTTTTGGTTATTATTAAATTTATATGTAATATTACTTATATGCCCTTATTAGATTATTTAATTATTTATTCTTTTTCTAAAATCTGATTGATCCCTACAACCACACAATAGTTATTGATCCACATATATATATATATATATATATATATATATATATATATATATATATATATATATATAGGGAATGACATGAGCGATGCACACGCTGTGGCCCCGGCCCCAGACATTTTGGCGAGTCGTTCATGGGAGTTTGCACCGCTTGAAGCGGAGACAGACTACAATGATCCAATGAGGGGAGGTGGACACAGCCCACTCACAAGAACTTAAGCTTTCATATTAAGAAAAATAATTCAATCAGAACGTGTTTAGTTGTATTGAAGCGGCAACTGGGAACATCTTCTTTAGAAGATGAGATGCATGAGAATGAATAAAGGCTGGCTTTTTATCATCTGATTCTGATCTAAATACAATACACTTTTAAAACAAGATATCATCATACATTTATGCTGGCTATAATAATAGATTAATAGATGAAGTAAGGTATATATATGTTATACACTTACAGTAATAGAATATGATTTGATTATATACAGACAGAGGGAGAGAGTTGAGTTTCAAAATGAAGCAGTAGATGACATCCATATCCCAAACGACACGATACCAATGGTCGCAAAAGCTTGGATCATTTCATACACAAAGTTTTGTTTCTGTATAGGTAAATTTTCCCAATCCGTCCGCCTATCACCAACACCAACATAAACTCAAATCATCAAACTTACATACAAAAAAAAAAAAAATTTACACTTTCATCATTATTTTTTAAAAAATATGCATACCCCAAATCAGCAATCACAATGGTTACATTATCTTGAGAATATTGGTCCTGCAATAAAACAGAGCTTGGAAGTCAAGGGAAATGAGAAACTCGTGATCAAAAGGTGAAAATGTGTACGGAATTCATTACATAGTACATACCAAGGCCATTTGAGCTAGAGCTTCAGATGCAGCCTACAATATATTGGTATAAAAATAATAAAGATTTTATAAACTTTTGTTTTTCTTGAAAATTATTTCATGGAAGCTAATTACCTGCACATCTCCATGTTCCCGAAGTTGGTTTCTAACAAAGTTGACCGCATCCGAGCTGAAGGTAATAAAATTTGGATAAAATAATGAAGTCATAAAAAAAAAAAAAAAAAAAAAAGGTAAAGGAAAGATAGATTGAACCTTTTAATGTAGTCCCATAAGCCATCAGTTGCTAACAATACAAATTCTGCTTCAGGCCCAAGTGTAACTTGATAAATATCAGGAGTAGCAATAACCAAGTCCCCAAAGAAGCGTATGCTGCACCAGATCATAACCCCAATTTTATAATTTATAAACAAAACAGCAGTGGGCAAAGGGTATTTCAGTCATTTACATAAATGAGAGAATGACTACCGTGATACGAATTTTTCAGACCATCTGCCTTCGGCAACTCCCTTTTCCAGCATCCTTTCAATAGTCAAAAATAATGTTCACTCACACATCAATCAACTAGTAATATAATATACACGAATATTAAAAAGGATTTAGACTAGAAATAAGAGATTACTCTTTCTTCTTTGTTTTAAACCGCATGTCACCAAAGGCACGAGATACAGAAATATCTCCACAGATTCTTCCATCCGAAATCTACAGAGACACGAAGCGATTTTATCAAATCAATATTATATTATATACAAGTAATAAAAGTGAAAAAGGAAATATAAAATAGGAAATAAGAAGAGAATAACAGACCCATCCACCTGCTTCTCTGATTCGCTTGATCTCTTGAAGGGAAACCTTGTTTCTTCCATAGGGTCTGTGAGAATTGGTCAATTCTTGTGCCTTTCCAGACTGTGAAAGAACCTGCCAACAAGTTTTTTTGCCTCATCAAAAACTCATTCCACTACGTATTAATTTCTAATTTGGCTTGTGATTTTTAAAAAATATATAAAAATCAGGGGGAAATTCACATACCGCACATGAATCACCAACATGAGAGATGAACAGCATATTGTTTCCTAGGAACATAGTTGTAGCTGTTGCACCAGATTCATCATCCTCTCCATTCATCTCAAGCCTTTACAAAATCAAACAGCATCTAAACCTTCAATGCAATAATACAGAAACGGAAATCATACATACTCCTTTGACAATTGTTTGGGGCAATACAAACTGTCTGCAAGTATATGTTAAGCTCACCAGTTTAGAAGTTTGGCATCAGCATTCTGGAAAGCCTCCTGCAGTGCTTTCTCGATTCCAATGGTGTCTTTTTTACTCAACAATAGCCCCCCTTGTAGAGCCTTAACACACTCCTTGTATAGCTCCTCCCTACATGTTCAAATATTCAGTCCTCTAAACTAAACAAGGGTTTCCACAAAAATTCCATAATTTATAAAGATACAAATCAACCAAAACTTGAATATTAGGAAAGATAAAACTTACTGAGACATAAACACAAACACCTAACGTGCATAACAAACCTGAGGAACTTAACAGAAGAGAAACCCGCGTGGCCATCGAAAACGGCAGCAAAAAAGAAACCATCAAGTTCGTTATGAGGCGATGAGCCGACTATAACAGCATCGTCTTCCATCTCCTCGCGGGCACCTTGTAATTTGGCGGAACCCCATCTGATCCCAGAGCCAAGGCCATCAGAGAGAGAAGATGGAGCGTCGATTGCAATCGCCGAACAGCACCGGGGGCTGCCTTCTCTACTCCACTTTCTCATAATTATATGATTATTTCTATTACAACTATTAGTCTTCTTCAAGTCGATCTTACTAACGTTGTTGTTGAGTAGAAATCTTTGCAAGCGTGGACTCCATAAAGCCATTGATGAGAGAAGATGTAGTTTGCGAGAAGAAGAACGGTGAAATAGAAATGGGTATATGATAAATAAGCGTAAGTGAGGTGAAGCTCCGAAGGATAAGAAGAGCGCAAACGCTGGCCGCTAACTGGTTTAACGGATTAGATTATCTTGAGTTGAGTTTTGTACTACAATATATAATTGTAGTACTTTCAAAAAATATTTACTAATATGCAGTACCTTCAAAGTTTATTTACCAAAAGCTTGCAAAATTGGTTTTTTTTTTTTTTTTTTATGTGAACCCCCATCCAGTTTGTATCTGAAAAGAAAATATTTGGTTCGTACTAAACTGGTTGCAAATGTGGAAGCCGTCACACGCGCTTCCTAATGCCCGTTCGATCACCATTATACTACCACCCCCATGGAATTATTCAGCGCACAAGCCATCGAGTCCGGCTTGTGGGTCTCCCTCTCCAACATCAACCTTATGTTGCTTGTTGAGAGCTTCAAATGAACCATCTCACAAACTCTTGAATTTAAACGGATAAACCACTCATATGGTATATTAAGTTAAATTTAAATGGATAAATCGTGTATTGTGATTCATTTATATTTTTTTATCTTGGTATATGTTGCTCTCCCTATTAAATATTTTAATCGTATTTCCGAATCCTAGTCAGTTATTTGTATCATTGTTGGGTTTGCACTTGTTTATGAGAAACAATGTTTTATATGCCTTCTCGTGTGCTTTGCATCAGTCCAGATATATTTGTATTGTGTCTCTCTCAGATATATTTGTATTGTGTCTCTCTCTGGTGCTCATTTGGACTCGACATAGTATCTTCAACAAGTGGTATTAGAGCTTTAGGTTTTCTTTGTAATATATATGGAGTTTTCCTTGTTTCGAAAATTTGCAAATTTGTGATACGCCGATATAATGTAAGAGTTATATTTTGGTTACCGGATCATCGCCATCATATGGTGAGGGCCCATATGTTATTATGAGATCCGCCCTTCGTATTGGAAAATGAAATTAGGTTGGTGACCTGGTATTTGGGAATGGAAGATAAAAGTTGTGTTGGTCGAAAACAAACGTCATTTGGTTATATTTGTTGGAAAAGTGTCCACAATCATAACAATTAATAATATTACTATTAGGTATGGTTCTTTTGGGTTACACGCAAAGGCAAAAATGAACAATTAATGACACAAGAGAATTATAGGGATTTAGTTTGCTAATTAATTAAATGTATAATTATTTAATGGAAACTTGTAGATTATCAAGGGCTTAAATGTAAATATATGAAAGATAATTACTTGCATTATAGATAATTACTAAATAATAGAGTTATTATCTAATAAGGAGCCCTAATCCCACCCTATAAATAGAGAGGTTGTTGGACAAACTCTGATGATGATTCCAAGTGGAAAACTCTCTAAAATCCGACAACATTTTCTTCTTTCTAAAGCCTAAAGAAACCCAAAGAGCACAACGCGCCTCGATAACATATCAATATATGTTTGGTGTTTTGATTCAAGAAATATCAAGATTGTTGTTCTTACTTCCTTGGGTGTGATCACATAAGAGGATCATTCTTTGGGTTCTATTCCACTTGTTGAATTGGCAAGAAAAAAAAATCAAAGGCTACAAATGTATGTTTCCTTTTTCCCTCTCTTAAATTGATTTTATGCTGCATTGATTAGTTGATCAAGAGATTTGACTCTTGAGATATTAGTTACTATAGTTTATGATTGCTTTACTTGTGCTAGTGCCTTTGTGGTCAAAGATCCTCATAACCAACAATATTTTCTCCTAAGGAGTTTGACCCATATAAGTCCCCATAAGAACAACAATATTTTCTCCTAAGGAGTTTGACCCATATAAGTCCCCATAAGAACTTAAGGATATGAAACAGTGGGAATTTGATCAACTACAATTAGTGATGGGAGAGAACATGATTAGCCATATTCATGAACAAAATATTACCAAGGGTATTTGGTACAAGCTAGATGAGATTTATTTGTAGATGTTATTAAATAACATGCTAATTTCTATGAAGTCGGTTATCTCTTACAAATTCATTTTACATGGCTTAGCAAGTTACCCCATGGTTGAAGTCATGTGACAGTATTTGATGATATAAACATGAGGTTGAAAGATACATGTGTGAATCTTGATGAAAAGTTTATGACTATATTATTGTTACTTTCTCTTTAGGATTGATATATTGGTTTGGATAGTAGTATAAATTATAGTCATGAGACCATTACACCTCTGGTGTGAATATTGGTATCCTTTATGAGGATTTAAAGATACAAGTTTGTGGGTTGAGTGATGATTCAGTTGATAGTAATGGTAGTCAAGGCTTGTATTCAAATGGGGTTTAGACGGCTATGAGCCGGGGAGAAACGATAAGACTCGTGAACATTCAAATTCATATATAGAAGCTCACTAAGGGAAGTTTGTCAGAGAATAAAGTTGCATGCCATTTTTTATAGGATTTAAACCATTTAGTTAGGGATTATCTCAATATTTGCAATAAGGTTAAACTTGAGGATAATTTGTATCCATCTGTTTATGATTAGGCTTATGATGCATTTTTGGGTACTTTGAATATCAAGTGTTTCGAGTACTGTTCCAACATTCAACGTCTTATGTTTAGGATGTGATAGACTTTGGTTGAGTGGAAGTGTAACATCCCAAAATTTATAGCCAAAAATTTCATTTTTAATTAAGTTATTATAAAACCAATAGTATAAAAAACATCCATAGTGTCATCCCATATCAAAACCAATATGTCAATAATCAAAACATGTCATAAGGAAGCAATATCAGAGTATAATCCCAAAGATCTCATGTGCGGAAAAACATAGAGTGATGCGCTGCGATCATGTCGACTCCTTTCCTTTTGCAAAAGAAGTACCTGAAACCAAAACTGTAAACCGTAAGCACGAAGCTTAGTGAGTTCCCCCATCATACCACATACCATATAATCACATAACGCCTAACATATCTAGGTGTTGGCCTCCCCTTCGGTCTCTTTCAACCGGTAACTTCCTAACATATCTAGGTGCTGGCCTCCCCTTCGGTCTCTTTCAACGGTAACTGCCTAGCATATTCGGGTGCTGCCTACCCTTTCGGTCTCTTTCAACCGGTAACTGGGGACTATTTCACCCCTACCACTACCACATAATACCCTAGCATATACATATAAATCATATACTGCCTAGCATATCTGGGTGTTGGCTGTAACGCCCGCAGATTCGGGCTAGTCAATTTAGAGACGATAAGCGTCAAAATGACTTTTTGATAGATGATATTTAGAATAAATAATCTTAACTAAGTTGTAGTATATGTCACAAGGTTTTCGTACATATAAAAAACACGGAAATCTGAGTTATAACGAAGAAGTTATGACCTGTCGAAGTTTCGCGACAAAACCGGCACGACACCGGGAATCATAAAAAGTGAGTTTACGATAAAATACTTTTTGGCCTTAGGGTTCTAAATGAAAGTTGTAGAGTACGTCTCCACCTACGCATGGACATAAAGAATGTCAAAAACGGAGCTCGTATGCAAAAGTTATGGCCTTCCGAAGATGTAGCTGTCTAAGAGCATGACACGTGTCAGAAACCCTAATCTGACTGGGCTCACGACGTGAGGAGTCAAAACACCACATTTCGAAGCTATAAGACGCATGGAAAGCCTATGGGATGATAATTCAAAAGCTCACGACGTGAGCAATGGATTTCTCACGACGTGAGGAGTCAAACGGACACTATGCAAGCCTAGAATGCAGGTGGCGAAGCTACGAGGTGATCAGGCATGGCTCACGCGTGAGATTCCAAAAATCAGCCTATAAATAGCCATTTCGACCCTAAGCTTTCTTACACCTAACTTTTTTTCTCTCTCTCGTTTGCTGAAGCCGTTCTGCTTCCCGAGCCTAACAACGACGAACCGCTGACCGTTTCTAGATAGATTCTCTTAAAGCACACTACAAGTGAGTGCATATTACTTTCATCTTACACATAGATATGAAGTATTTTATATAAAAATTACGTGCTATGTGTAAATATTATCTGAATACTTGTTGTCTATGTTGGATGATCGATTTTATATACGTTTTAAATGATTTAAACTGTATATGTATTTTATATCTACAAATATGTTGGGGTAAAACATGGGTAGATAAAATAGTTGGTGTGTGATGAAAAATGAGTTGGAAGATGAGATGAAAGGCGATATTGTGACAACCCGAAACTTCTATCTGGTACATCTAGTCAGTTAATCTAAGTTAAACTCGTTTCTGTTAACTCCTAGCACTGATTAAGGGTTCATTTAAGCGTTCTAAGCTTGAGTACAACCAAGGTCGAGATTAGGAATGAGTCAGCAAGTCGTATAGTAACGAAATCAGGCCATACACCCCTTTCGGAGGAGTGTGCGGCCGCACACATGGGTGTACGGCCGTACACAACCCTCATGGCCACACACCCACCCCTATATAAAGGGTAGACCCCTTTCCTTTCATTCCTTTAACACCTTGGAAGCACACAACACCATTTCTCTCAAGCTTCTTCAACCACAAACCCTCCAAAGCTTCAAAAACGTGAGTAATCCATCCCTCAGCTTATTGTGCTTGAAGAGCCTCTTGATCTAAGCCTTTATTCATCATGTCCCGGCATGTTCTTCATCTCTTTGAAGGAGTTCAGCCGCACACCCACATAAGGTGGCCTCACACTCCTAAAAGACCCTCCAAAGTGAGAGTTTGACTTCCATATTTGAGTTGGACATGACCCTAGCCTTGCTACACCTTAGAATTGGCATTTTGGACATCATCATGTAGGGTGTACGACCGCACACACCTGTGTACGGCCGCACACACCCTTGTGCGGTAGCACACTCCCGTGTGAGACCACACACACCCTAGGACCACAAACCCATTTCACAACTGCTTGTATTCTTAGGGAATTAGTAGACAGGTACTTCCAGGAATTTGGAGAAGTCGGAGCGTTAGAGCCACGTCTTTCCATTTTACTTTTGATATGAACAAAACTATGTATTAAGACAATGTAAACTTTTTTTATATAT